AAAAAAAAAACCTGATTTGCATCCAAACAATCCTTTGCAGGAGCACAAGTAGAACTCCATTCTGGAGAAGAAATACTAGATTCACCAAAGTCGGTCTCATTCCAAAATTTTACAGTCCTTTCAATAGCTCTGTGATAATCCTCTTCCCTTTTAACTTCATCACCTGGGTACATCTGAAATCTCAGATGTGCAATTAAACTGATCTGTGCGAGTCATAAAAAATTAACTTACTCTAAGAGTACACAAGTCGACATTAGTGCCCAATGTTTTCAGTCCTTTATATTTCTGTTCAATACGACGAATGTTGAAAAAAAACCGAGAGGATGCTTTTCCAAATCCCAATTTCCATTTTTGTTCCATACGATATTTCTAAAAAAGAACTCTCAATTACACAAAACCTTTATTCACTTTATTGTGGCTATGAACGTACAGCCCTGCACTTTTCTGAGCTCACGCGCGTGACAAGCACAAAAACTATCATGACGCTTTTGCACTGTTGCAGCCTCAAGACAGCACCCAAAGCTTCAAAGTTCAATACCAAATATAGCTTACCAATATTGCATGCGGTTATATAGGAGCAATGAAGCCAAGCTGCTCAGGATTTCCCTGTCAGAAAAAAAAAATTCCCCTAAATTGCACATTGCCTTAAGATATCACATTTTGTAGAAAACAATTTCACTACTTGTTTATGTAAACATGCAACATTTAGTGCTTGCTGATATTTTCCTTAGATTCTTAATAAGTTCGATGGTGTTTTAAAATTCCGGAACATTTCATTTTCATAAAATGTCTCATCTCAGTTAACGCGCAGAATCTTCTCATTAGTTAAGAAAACAAACTTCAGGTCGCTTGAAACACCAAGGTTAATTCAGTCTCTCATGTTTGCCGAGGAACGGTAAGAAATGAAGCCTACGAACGAAGAGAAGAACAAGGATGCGTTCGTACTAAATAAGATAACTACAGCCTCTGGAGGATGAAAAATTTAAGTGTCAAATTACTATCTTGAACCGTTGAGAAACAATTATTTACCTCTACAAGGCAGACATCTTCAGAAGCGATAAAAAATGTCCGCCATGAAAAGCGTGAAAAAGTAAGGCGATTAAAATTTTCAATAGATTCAACTGGGCTTTTTCCCGCCAAAAAAATTAACTGTTCAACCAGAACATTTTTATGCGGTTTGAGAACTGTATTTTATGGCTTTTTCAGATAACTTATGGGTGCTTCGTCAACCGTAGAAGCTACTTTTTGGAGTCATTATGTTTCCTGTTTTATTCTCTTCTCCAAAAACAGTTTGAATATCCACCAGAAATATTCTGTGCCAAAGTAATGACCATTTTCTGATAGTCAAAGTCCAGCGGTTCAAATCCGCGGTTTTTTCTTCTGTATCTTACAGCTTTCTTCGTTGACATGGCAATTTTCAGTCTCTTTCACTTTAAGGGGCGTTTCATGAACTTTTAAATATAGAAGGAAGAACTGACTTTTCCACAACTCTGTAATTGATATAAAGCTACCTCTATAAGGTTGTTTAAAAATCGCCCTTCCGTTATCCGCTCTTAGTGTTGAAGGAAGCTTAGGCTTCAGATGAAACTAAAGTCGACATTACATACAAATTTCTGTTTAACATTATTTACTTCATATTTTGTTGAATGCGTTGTTTTTTTCTCCTTTCTTCTGCGGCAGTAGTAAATAGATCTCACGTAGCATTCTTTGTGGAAAATGAAACATTTTGAAAGGATAGAACCAGAATCAAGTTGCATAAACGGTGGGCTTAAGTTTAATTACAAGTGTACTCTTGTTGCACAAAATTTTTTTTTACACTTATTTTTACAGTTTGCGTTTAGCACTCCCTGTTTTTGCTATCTAGTTTATTTCCTTGTCTAAATTTTAAATTAATATCGCTGGAGGTGACAAGTAATAATACTTATTTACTCTATTTACCACGACCTGTTTTATGATCTTAACTGTTCAGGATTGTTAAAGTACAGCTAGTTTTGCAACTGTGTTCTAATTTTTTTTTATTTCTTACTCATCGGCAGTGCTTCTGAAATGTTTAAAACTTTTATTAAAATTCGTGAACCAGTCTTTTTTTTAGGGGTACGAGGAACTGTTGACTTTCCACTGTTAAGGGCAAAAAAATGGCTACTCATATTAACCCACAGTTTTACGGTAATGGTAACGCATAAAGATATTATTTTGTTAAGTGCATCCGAAATATGCAAAAATTTCATTATGCTTCAAGATTTACCTTTAAAAAAAAAAGAATTTTTTTGGTAAGCTTTAAAATTACAGGCAGAAAGGGTTCTTAAATTCGCATATAAACTCCCTTAACTTTCAGAATGGAATGGTTACGGGAAAAGAATATAACGACGTTGAAGCAAAGAAAAGATCTAAATCTAGGTAACGTGTTAATGTCATTTGATATTCATATGAAAGGTGATTTAGACATGATTATGACGGTTACAGATTACTGCACTCTTCAAATAACATTTAGAACATTTTTTTTCATTCCAAAATTTTGAACGAATAGCTTTATCCATCAAATAAACCATAGCTGGACCCATTTAATTCGCAATAATAAGAAAAAGGGCTTCAAAACAGTAGGTTTCAAGAAACAGGTTGATATTTGGTTGATATTTTGAATGGCTTGAGTCACATACTTTGTACCTTCTAAGTTTTGAACTAAAACGGTTGAAAGACGTCATTTAAAGTAGCTGTACCTCATTATCCTAACGAAAAATTAGCAAATGGTTTATTCAATAATTATATTAATTTGAAAAATCTTAATTTTGATTTTAGACTCTTGATTTGATTCTGAATTTTTGGTTTGTAAAAATTTGTTGACCGCGCAGCAGAATAATGATACAAACTGACTGCTTACTCTCAGTAAAACTACATATTTTAGTGAACTAATTTTGAAAATAATGGTCATTTTTAGTTACAAGCATTTTTTCGTCAAAAAACTTCGTCTAAACCCAGAAGGGTTTAAGGTAGCGCTACTGATAAGTTTGTACTAAGGACTCTTGATAGTAACCGCAGCGTTCAGCAATTATATGACAAAGCCCTGATGTTTTTCCTATAAATTTCTCGGTGGTTTCATTTCATATATTTTAGTATTAGATGAGGAATTACACAGCCCACTAAACACCAATTTATAACGACAAGTTTGAGTGGCTGGAAATTAAAAATTATTTCAGAATATTTGCATTTGTAAATCATCCAAAGTTTAAGAAATTGTTTTATTTGCAGACCTTTGTGTTTAACGCGTATCCTTTTATTTCTACTCAAGTATGAAGCAATAAACTCAAAGCTACACAAAAATATTTCACCCTTTTTTCACACATAACTTTTGGAGTCTTTGTATTCAAAAACAATTAAATATTGACCAAAATGAAGCCAGGTAAAAGGAACCGGATCAGAAAGAACCTTCATCTGTGATATATATCTGTTCCATCATCTGCATCTAAAATCTCCACTTTCCTAAACGAACTACTTGGCCGTTGTACCGCAGCTACACGAACCAAACATTTCAGAACGCCGATTAATTATGCAAAGACGTTCAAATTTTTGTTTGGATGGATGCCAACGCGGATTTTTATGCGCAGCATAGTAATACACAGATTATTTAGCTGCAATTTGTAACAGTAATTGGGCGCCAGACTTTAAATTCCGAAAAAAGCATTTGGCACCTCCGTCTTTCCGCTTACTACCATTAATTTTCACAAATTACTTGTAACTTGTAAAATTTTGATCGTGTTTTCACTATTCCATATTTCTGGTACTTTTAGTGGGTTTTTTTAAATGTGTTACTTTTGGAAATTCCGTCACTTGAACATTTTTTTTTTAAATGAGTCGACTCTGTAACACATGTTTGATGGTCATCACAGTTTCAAACTGTCATCACTGCCATTTTCCCCGTTGGTAGATGCGCAAATAATCGTTGTTACATTGATTTCCGTTTTTATCTGCTATTGCTTTTCATATATGCTAAAGAAGATTTTAACTTTTGTCTTATTTTTCTTATTCTTTTCTCTTGAAAGATTACAGTGTTTTTTGATTTTTGGCTTCCTTGGACTGTGTTAAAAATTTATTTTAAAATTTTATTGGATGTACTTTTTGTACGCACCTACCAGCAGCAAAAAATTCT